TGTCGTCTCGGATTCTCCAGCATCTGCAGTTCCTACTATTCCTGAAGCATACATCTGTGTAGACTAAAACTTACAACTTTCTAAATTCAAAGCTACTGATTCAGAGCAGTTTTGACGTTTGCTTCGAGTGGAGCCACGGGATGGGTAAGGAAAATGAAGACGTTAAAACAATTGAGGAGAAAATTCTGTAAGAAACTTGCACAAAAAATAAATAAAAAGAAGAAAAACAATGAAAGCAAGACGCCCTCGAAGAGCTAACTGAAACTTCTCCAAGGCTGAAGGAAAAGTGTTTGATGCTGCTGGCTCACCGGTTGCTAGGATACCGGGACCGGAAGTACGGTCCGTCCTTTGCAAGTGTCCGCCGGATGTTCGCTTGAATTGGGCGGAAAGGAAGGAACTTGTCTTTAAAATTATTTCAATCACTTTGTATCTGAGTAACTATAATCTGTCGAGATTATAGTGCAACTCACTTTTAAAATGCTACAGCAAATCCTCGTGTGCAGCACTGTAATATGTTAACATTTTAAATTTATCAAGGACAAGTTTCCCTGTCGCTATGGCGACTTTAAGAGGTGCAGGCTTTCGGTGTGAGTAGATCTTCAGGCCTCAGTCTGAAAAAAAGGAACAGAAACAATTTTATTTAATAACTTAGACCTACGTGACTATATTCCGAGGCAACAATGCTCTAAGATGTGAATTTTTCACCATTTGTTACTTATTTTGCTTTTTTCTTTTTATTTATTGCACCTCTCCTTTCTGTGCACTCCCTGCTTTTTTGCAGTGTGAGCCTCTGGCTGCTGTGGGGAAGTCATTCAGTTTTATGAGTCGTTCCCACTGGGTTCAAAGGTTCTCTTTCACAATTAATCCTAGCTCCAAGAAACTCAGCTCTTTGTCTGCCATTCATCGCCATGGATTCTTTTGTGAAATTCACTTCCCTCAGTCAAGGTAGGGAGAGAATCTTCAGGTAAGACTTCTGCAATGGAGCCTTTACACTTACTATTTTAACATCACCTGAGAGAATCTATTTTTACTCCCTCACCCTTTCTGATAGTACAAGTGTTGTATCTTCATTTACTAGCTAGGGTTATTTTTTGCCCAGCTGCATAGCTTTAATTTTGATATCTGTGCTTGATGTTCTAAACTTGCTTCATAGTTGAAAGATTTAACAAAAGCAAGTATTATTTACTCTCTGCCTTTTATTGTGACTGATGGTGTACCCTCTGAGGCCTGTCTGAAAGATTTCAGCCCTCTATGTTTAAATTCATTATCCCAAAAGTTGTATTCTTTGTAGCTTAATGCATGTATTTTAAATGTGCTTTTGCATGCTGTTTTGCTTCTTCATGTTGTAATTGTTCAAAGTCATTTAGATGCAGTTAATCGGATTGATCTGCTTACGCTACTTGTAAATTCAGAGTCTATTTAGATTTTGGAGGTTAAACTATTGAGTGACTGAGATGCTACATGTGTTTCAGTCTTTTGCTGTTATTTTATAGTACAAGTCTGTCCTCAATGCTAAATGAGTATGCACAGACACTAGTCTTGCGCTGGCAACCCACAGTAGGAAATCCATACAAATCAAATGAGGAAGGTAGTTTTAAAAAAAAGTGCAGTATGTGTCAATGTTTACTTGGAAACTCTCTTTTTGAGGGCTCCCAGCCCTGCAGTACCTCTCTTACTGCAATTTAAACTTTAGTGATTAATGAACATCTTTATGCTTTTGCCAAACATTTATATTTTAATTGATGTAAAAGACTTCAGCATATTGCATATCCAGGGGGAGTTTCTACGCTATTGAAGAATACAAATTCCAGGCAGGTGGGAAGCATGAAATAAAAATGCAGTTTAAGTTGATCAAACCTGTCTGTACCCCTGTTAATTTAGAATTAAGCTCGCCCAATCTGATTTTAATATCCGTCTGTAGCAGACCAGTCCCTACCAATCACCTGCTTCCTCCTGTTACTGCCAGTCCCTGGTAAGGGTCCCCAATCTGTTACATTCCCAGGTGAGGAGGAATAAACTGACTTTATTCAACTCCTCCCTTAGTTGAGGTATTTTTAATCAATCTGTTCAGAGATGTTATTACATACCTCTGGGGCTATGTTAGGAATCCTGAGTAACTTTAATCCTTACTTCCCAAAGCCTGTCAACCATTTATATGTCATAAGTCAGGAGTGTGATGGAAAATTCTCCACTTGCCTGGATAAGAACTTGACACCATCCAAGACGAAGCAGCCTGCGTGATTGCCTCCCTTCCACTCCTTCAAGCATTCATTTTCTGAAGCAGTAGTGCATTCTATTTACAAAGTGCAATACAGAAGTTCACCAAAACTCCAAGACAGAACTTCTAAATCCAAGATCACTTCCATCTCTAAGGACAAGGGCAGCAGAACACTACCACTGCAATTTCCCCACCAAGACATTCAATGTCCAGACTTGGAAATATATTGCAGTTCCTTCAGTGCCGCTGGGTCAGAATCCTGGAATTGACTCCTTCGCTGCATTGCGGATCTATATACAAAATGGACTGCAGTGCTTAAAGAAGCTGCTCATAATCACGTACTCAAGGGCAACCAGGAATACACATCCCATGAATGAATTTTTAAAAGTTACCTCTGACCACCCACCCTCACCCCATGTACATTTTACAGACATGTATATTTCTAATGCAATGCAGGTTGAGGCTATAATTTGAGCAGTAATTAAGATATTTTCAATCTCCTGTGGAAAGTGTGAATGAGTATAAATCACAGGTGATGTATAATTAGAGGATAGTGGATAATTGAATTTAATGCCGTCTCTACTCAAACGATATACATTATAACCAATTTTTTTACAGACCTGTTTTATATTTTAGTACATGGTGATGTAAAATTTTGACCAACTGCTTCAATTAAAAATTCATAACAACATTCATCATGGCAACTGTCTTTACAGAGCTATATGCTATATTGATGCCTCTCCCAGCCTCCAGCTGAAGGTACCACAGCTTATTGAATGACAGGCGGCGGGTGTTGTTACAACATGACAATTTTAGAGAAGCATTTTCTATTAAAATATGGATCTGCAAATTTACAATAGGATTCAGTAATTTAAGAATAGAAGTATAATTGTATAAATTGTGACTACACACTCTGGTCCAATATTCCCCACGCTCTAATTCCGTTTAAGCTGAAGGCTGCATTTGTTCTTGACTTCTTATGTGCAATGCCAAAGGAGATAGATTAGTATTACTCATATTGATGAAGGAGTAAAAACTTTACTAATTTGAGAAGCAGAGTTAATTAGAGCACATGATTTATTGTGCTCTTTGCCTGAGGAGCTCAGAGATGTAAAATTGTAGCACTGCGATAAAATATTATAAGTCAGCTTGATTTTCCACCAATGTCAGTTTCCATTATAAATGTGAACTTAGGCAGTTAGAACAGAAAAAGGTCATGGGAAATGTACCCGTATGTTTTATGTGTGATATTTGCTTTTATCTTCCCAGTTGCTAATAAAAGTATTGGTGGGATTTTTATTTTCACCGTTGTGTAAATACAGAAGATAAATAGAAACACAGTTTTCTAAGTAAAGACTAGCTGGGAGTGCTAATTTCATAAAACTTAAAGAATCAGTAAACACACTGGGGCGGAAGGAGGAAGCATTTTGCAGTACTTGGAAAGCAAATCATGACCTACACTGTTGCCCTCTTTAACTTGGCAACTTTTGCAAAATATGGAAATTCAAATTTGTCATGTAATGCTGTACTTCACTGGCTGCATTATCAAGGCATTATATCAAATAAATACTGTGATTATAGGAATAGTTCAGAAGTTGGAAATTCTGTAGCAAGCAATTCGCCTCCTGTCTCCCAAATGCCTGTCCACTGTCTCAAGGCACAAGATAGAAATGTGATGCAATACTCTCTAATCACTTGGAAGTGTGCAGTTCCAATAAAATTCGATAAGCTTGAAAACATCCAGGACAAAGTAGCCTTTGATTGGCACCCTATTCACAATCTTCATCATTCACTCCCATCACCACAGATGCAGAGAGAAATTGACGTATGCCGTTTTCAAGATGCAGTGTAATAGGACTCAAATACATGAGGCAATTTGTCTCCCAAATCCTCAAAATGACAGTGTATTTTCAATTGGTGTGGTGACCACTCAATTATTTTTTTAAGAAGAGCGAAAGAGTAAAACCAGGGAGTTACAGATCAGTTAGCTTAACATCTGTGGTGGGAAAACGCTTGGAGTCTATAATCAAGGATGGGGTAACGGAGCATGATTAAAATTTTCAATTGATCAGGGAGAGGCAGCATGGATTCATGATAGGTAGGCCATGCTTGACAAACCTCATTGAGTTCTTGGACGAGGTGACTAAGGTAGTGGACAGGGGAATGTCTACGGATGTTGTTTATATGAACTTCTAGAAGGCCCTTGATAATTCCTGCAAAATAATTTGTTAACTAAGGTAGAAACTTGTGGAATTGAGGAGAAACTATTGACACGGCTGGGAAACTGGTTGAGTGATAGGCGCAGAAAGTAGGGATAGTGGATAGCTACTCAAATTGGCACGATTTGACCAGTGGTTTCCCACAAGAATCTGTGTTAGGGCCTCATTATTCACACTTATTTATTAATGACTTCTGTATTGACAGTCATATATTCAAATTTGCTGACAACACAAAGTTAGGTGGCAGTGCAGATAGACAACAATATCCCTTCTGGAATTTTATGTTATTATCCACAGTAAGTGAATGGGCAAAACTGTGACAGAATGCAATGTAAGCAAGTGTAAGTTTATCCATTTTGGATTGAAAAAGAAAAGATCAAGGTACTTTCTAGATAGTATGAAGTTAAATACAGTGATTATCCAAAGAGACTTGGGATTCAGGTACATAGATCTTTAACATGTCATGAGCAAGTGCAGAAAAAAGTCAAGAAAGCTAATGGAATGCTGGTCTTTATATCTAGAGGACTGGAATACAAGGGTGTAGAAATTATGCTGCAATTATACAAAACACTGGTTAGACCTAATGTACTATGAGTAGATCCAGATACCAAACCTTAGGAAGACTATATTGGCCTTGGGGGGAGTTCAATACAGGTTTACAAGAATAATAACCTAACCCATGGAAATCCAGGTATGAGGAGAGATTATACAAATGAGGCCTGTTTTCTCTGGAATTTAAAAGGTTAAGGGTGACCTGATCAAAGTCTTCAAGAAATTAACAGGAAAAAACAGGGTAGACAAAAAGAAACTATTTCCGCTGACTGGGGATTCTAAACCATGGAGCATAGTCTGAGAATTAGGGCTAGACCGTTCAGAAGAACATAAGCACTTCTACACACAAAGGGTGGTAGAGGTTTAGAAATCTCTCCTGTAAACAGCAGTGTATACAGGATCAGTAGTTAATTCTGAATCTGAGATTGATAAATTTTTGTTAAACAAAGATATTAAGGGATATGGGCCAAAGGCAGGTTTGCGGAGTTATGCCACAGATCAGCCATGATCTAATTGAATGGTGGAACAGGCTTACTTCTGTCCTTATGACCACTCCGAGAAAGGTTGCCCCAGTAAGTAAAAATGACAGAATTGACGAGGAACTGCTACTTCGGTCACAGGCAGGTTCTGTCTTGCTTTGGATGCTGATAGGTTCTCGGATCCCCTCTGCTTTCAGTTATGTTACAGGTCTGGATGTACACCAAAGGGGCAAAGTCTCCTTGTTCATTACACATTATTTCAAGAACAGTTCCATTGAACCCCACAGATAATCAGATGTGACCAGAGAACCATGGAAGTTTACAGCACAGGAGGAATCAATTTGGCTTATCGTGACTGTGCTTTGCTTTTGCCATTGCAATCCTAAAACTAATTCCACTGCTGTGCTCACCCTCATGGACCTATATCTTCTTCAGTTTTAAAATCTTATATCTACTTTACTCTCCTTACAAGGTTAACTATCTGCTTCAGTTTATTCCTATCACAAAGTTTCTGTGCTCTGATAAATCTCTGTAAAGACCTCTCTTCTCACTCTCCTAAAAGAGAGTGTTTTGAATTGGTGGCTTTGTAGAACTGCGGCAATTACAAAATTCTCATTGATGATTCCTACTAAACATTCATTGTCTAAGCAGTGAAGATAGATCAAGTGCCTCTTCATAAATCCTGCGACACTTGTGGAGATAGAATCGTTATTTGCTATTGCTTCGCCTCAAGAATCTGGATTTGAATCCACCCCAGTAGAATACCAATATCTGTTCTGTTGCAGGGATAGTGTGCGAAATCACAGTATAACAGATCTTGAATCTTATTTTTTTTGATGCAACACATTTAAGGATAGTGCATTTGCTAAACTGTTTAATAGTGATCACTGCATGTAGCAGAAAATAAGCTCTGTGCTTCTTGCATTTTTTTCTTTCAGAACCACTCAGTATGCAT